GTCAAGGTGGAGAAAAGAGAGGAGGAGGAGGAGGAGGAGGAGGAGGAGGAGGAGGAAGGGAGAAAACTACAGGGGGAGGGGGCGGGAAGACAGAACGGGTGCCAGTCATGTGTCCGCAATGTGTGCATGTTTTCGCGCCAATTCCCTCCGATTGATGTGTCACATACCTGCTTGTCGATATACATGCGGTGTCTGTCGCTCTTATTCTAGGCGTGATAGCCTCCCGGGTGGGGAAGGCCCTCAAAGGGTTGTGGAATGCCTGGTGGGAGAAGGAGCGCGAGGGAAGAAATGGAGGCAAGAAAAATTGAAAAGAGAGAGGGGAGGAGATGGAAAAGCCCGTATGAAGCTCTTAACCATCGGTTTTCACGCTTGTCAGATACCGAAAAGGTGAAAGAGGCTTACGAAATAGACAGCAAACAATCCAACACTGACCCTCCTAAACGTCATGAACCTCCTTGCACGTAAGTTGGCACCACACGAGACGAATACAATGGACAAATATACCAGAATATACTCGAACATTTCAAACTGTCCCCTGCCGTGATTATTTTATTCCTTTTTCACTCACGTACCCGCACTAAAGAGGAAGGCACCGCCGAGTCCCATCCTCCCCCCCCTCCCAGCAAGACTAGTAGAGGAGAGGCGGACAAGCAGGCTAGGCGTCGCATTCCTTCGTACTGGTCGGTGTATAAGATTACAAGGATCAGAAGAGAAGAGAATGCGTAGGTTAAGAGGGGGACTGAGTCAAATTGTTTTTTTCCCTGTAGGGAGAATTGCTGCTGCTGCTTCTGCTGTACGTTGCTTGCAGCATTTTTTAGCCGTCAAGCCCGAAGCCGACACCAACGACTACACGGCAGACGGCAATAAGGGATTCACAAGCATATGTAGCTTAATATTCTGCTGTTTAATATTCAACGAAGCCGACCCCACACTCCCTCGGCATCGACCATGCCCGTCTATCGTGTCGAGACGATTGCCCGGTAGGTTGCTCTCCTCGATCTTCCTCCCTGCCCCAGGATACTTGACTCATGTCCTAGTGCGCCCACAAAATGCCAAAAATCGGCCCTTCCACGTCCCCATCCCGTTTTCTGAAACTCAACGCTACGTATTCATGTGGTGCGTGAAAGGTCGGGCGTTCGGACGTGCAAGCCACGGGGGGTGTCGCAATGTGCCGGAGATCATAGGATCAAGGGCAACTCGATGGATATCTGAGCGACTGGTTTTCCAGCCAAAGGATGAGAGATTTTGCAAGCAGATTATGTCCGTTAGGTGCGACAAGAAGGAAAGCCCACGAGGCCATGGCCTTGGTTGGGTGGATGTGTAGATCCGTCACTTGGCTTTATTGTCGGACATTTTCGTTGGCTGCTATTTTTTGCGCCTCGTAGAGTGCCTTTATATTGCAATACTCTGATCTGGCCCACACTCCGCTGGGACCCTAGCGCCACAACCTAACTTCCACTTTCTCCCATCTGACCTGGTTTACTCTGCCTTCCTTTGAAAGTTTTAACCCTTATGCAAGAAGGACAGAAATTGTATGCTTCCTTGAGAAAGTAAAAACATGCCGAGACGTTGGTATGTTTATACTCAAGGGAGTGACGAAATGAACACCCCTTAAAGCCTGTTTTGTCAATCAAGACATCCTCTTTCCCTTGCTTTCTGACAACACGTAGCACCACTGTTTCTCAGGCATGCCTTTTCTTTTTTTAAAACAACTTAAGTTTTTCTTTCTTGTTAGGAATACCTACGCTCTGTAGATAACGATGAAATGCTCAGCGGTCTATCAAACTCCGTACATTCCACACGAACGAAAATTCGCTTGCATCCTCAAAGTATCGGTACCCCTTTGTTATTCATTGAAAATGCGTTAAAAGGTATCGGAGTCGATTCATTTACCCGCAAAGCATAAATGAAGTATAAGAGGACCCGGCTGCCTGTTGTCTTGGGACTCTTTGCTTCTTTGTAGCTGACTCCTTGCAATTGAACATAATACACTCCAATCCGATGAAGGCCTTAGCCTCTCGTTTCTCTTTCACAGGTTTCCTTTTCAAGCATATCCAACGTCTCTCTCACACTTGAAGTGGCGTAAATGAGGAAAACGCCGAAAGAAGATCAAGGAATCGTTCATCTGCGCGTTCTTGTCGCCTTTCAAGATTAGCTCGGTCAATGATGAGGTGGGAGGGACCTGCACATGGAGGTCGAGAAAGGAGATGTTAAGGTGACACGATTCCCCGAGACAGCAATGTTTCCAAGCTGACACGTCCCATCGCATCTCGGAGATGCAAAAGTAGTCAATCCACAGGCGTGAGACCACGCGTCTTCCCAACTCATCACTGCCTCGAAGTTGTCGACAAAA